ATGCAGAGTGCTTCCTAGTGAGTCACAGCACTCAAAGCAATTGCTCTCCTTATGCTTCCAAACAAGCACTTCCAAAGAAATCACCCTTGAGAGCATTATCTGAAAAGTAATAAATATGTGAGAGGACCAAAAAAAAAAAAAAAAAAAAAAAAAAAAAAAAAAATGGTTAGGAATTACAGAACAATTTGTAGAACAAGTTGTAGAACAGCTATGGAGTTTTGTAGTTGCATTATAGTTGCTGGGCTTCAACATCAGTTTGTGTTAATCAGTTACTAGATTGTTTGCATTTGGTAGCTGAAGAATTTTTTTTGTATCTACACTTCCTATTTAAGACAATCAGTTTACTGAAGAGTTCTTAGGGAATTAACTTTGATTGTTGGTAAAGCTCTGTTTACCCACGGTCTGTTCTCTTCAGGAAGCTCATCCTCTGTATAACCAAGATGTTATAATCACAATATAATTGTGTATAATCAATAGATATCAAGATGTTATAATTGCAGTATAATCAAGAGAGTAAGGCAAAGCAGACAACGATCACAAAAAGAGAATAAGTGGAAGAGCTTACCCTTGGGTTGAGCTCACCAGAAGACACCAAAAGAGGGGATCTCCAGAAGAGATCCTTCCCCTCTGGTAGCCAGCTCTTAAATAGGTCCAGGAGGGGTGGAGCCAGGCTCCACCCCTTCCAGCAGCACAGGTGAATTGCCTTCACCTGTACTCCTCTGGCTGACTCATGGCTCACCTCAGGTGATCAATCAGAGGTTCAGGCCGTGACTCAGCAGTTCCCATACATCCTCCTTGGGCAGTGTGAAAGGGGTTTAATTTCAATTACAGGGCAGTATTAATCTTCAGTCTTAAGAAGGTGGAAAACCTGCTTTTGGGTTGCATTTTTTGGTCTGACTTCAGACCTCTGTTGATTCTTAGAGGAATTTCTCATATAACTATGAAAAGAAACCTGAATCATCCCCTGGATACACCCTGTATATGCCTTCCATTGTACAAAGTGTGCAACGTTCTTGACTTCAGACAGCTAGTGATCAGAGACCATTGCTTGCACAAGTCAGCACTCTCCTATTCTTCCTTAGTATTCCAGCTTCCCCCCCAGCCTTTTGTTTCTTTGTTTGTTTGTTTGGAGATGATGATCATCTCTCTCTCCTGTTGCATAGTCTCTGAATCACTGGGGACCAGAGCTCAGATTGGGGTTCCAGTGTGCAGTGGGAAACCCCAGAACTTCCTGGTTCTGGAGTCAGAAACAAACACTTTTAAGTAATGATTTGATATTTACAAACAGAAAGGATATCCACACACCTGGTCTCAGTATACCTTCTGTGTGGTCCATGACAGTTATCTTGCCCTTATACTGGCCATGCCACTGACATTACTTTGCCACTGCTGTCTGTCATAAGAAGCAGCTAACCAGAGAAATCAGTTTTCTATGGCCACAACACTGGACCACTTGTAAGCAGCTGTTTGTATAGAATTCGTTCTTCTTTTTTTAGTGGGACAGCTGTGAAAAGGCTGCTGTTTATTAGGCAGACTTGTAACAAGCTTACATGTCCTAAAGAATATTCAGCACTCTGCAGTTCTGTGTGTCTGAACTGCATTTAGGAGCAGCCCCAGAATGAAAAAGGATAGCTGTCCATTTTAGTGTACAGAAAGAGACTCTCCAGAAAATCCCTCCATCCAGCCCTGGAAATTCATGGATAAAGAGTTTGACTCAAAGACCAGACGTGTATGAGCCTGGGAAAGGCAGTCAGGAGTTCCCCTAAGAAGGAAGTTTTTATAACACAGTGCACAACACATTGGTACCTCTGTCAGCTGAGATCATAGAATGATAGAATGGTTTGGGTTAGAAGGGACCTTTAAGATCACCTGCTTCCAATCCCCTGCTACAGGCAGGGACACCTCCCTCTAGGTGCCTCATATACGACAGAATTCCTTGCTTGGCTACTTCTGCCACATCTGTGCACTCCACCCAAATTCCAGGTGGGGGTAATTCTTAGTGTTCTTCAGTATTTGGGCACCCTCACCCAGGTGGAGACTGAAGAGGAAGGTCTGGTGGAGAAAGCTGGTGAGTCACACGAATGACCAGACCACCGATATGGAATTCAGCATATGTAAAGGAGCATGCGTGTAACTTTCCTTTTTCCCTTTCTGTATCAAATTATTCATACCCACTGCTCTATTGGATTGTGTTAAGATTCAGCATCTCTCATTATTATCAGCAACTTATTAAATGTTTGCAACTATTTATTGCTACTTATTATATTGCTTAGCACTGTTTGTTGTGCACTGATTTGGCAGAGCACTGGAATATGCTCATAAGAGTTCTACTGAACAGACACAAAAATAGACCTGTTCTCCTCTGTAATCTACCGAGGTACCTTTCAGCTAGCTGACATCTATCCAGAATGGAATTTGTTTGGATGATTTGTGTGCTTTCTGTCTCGTTCTAAATTAAGGGCTTGGTGATCTTGTTATAAGCATAAAATCTTTTGTGTTTCAGGTATGAACTGGGGGAGGCTCTGTACTTAGGCTGGGCTGGATCTGTTCTTTGTATGCTTGGTGGGATCTTCCTAACCTGTTCGTGCAAAGGGAAGGAAAAACAGAAGTACAGGTAATCTTGAACTTGGCAGTTCAAATAGTAAGTGTCTGTTATACATCATTTTCTGTTCTCTCTTTCGCCTTGGTTTGAATCTGCAGCAAAATAAACAGGAAACTCCACCTATTGAATCAGTGCTCTGGAATGTCCCAGACTTGTGGGGGGTGGTGATGCCATGCCAGGCACTGATGTCTCCCAAATACTGAATTTGTTGGTAATTGGCTGCAGTCAGCAGTCACCTATAACTAGGCTTCGGTAATTGTGATGGCGCTTCTGAGATCTGTGTGATGACAGCGTGCAGTGAAAGAGCCAAAAGAAAAGTGTGTCAAAGAATACAGTGTACTGTAATTAAGGTCTCCTGTAATACCACTATTAAAATGCCCAAACCCCTTTATTATGAAGAAAATGTAGTGGCATTTTCTTCCCCAAGTTGACTGCTAGAAGCACGTGACGTTTCCTTGTTTCTTGTGGAGCATTTTGCATCCAATATGTTGAGTGTGCATCAAAGCAGAAAAATCAAAGTTCCTGGCCTCCGTATTTAACCTTGCCTGCATTTTCCTCCAATCCTTAATTTTTTACACATACTGAAGGTCCCCTTCTCAAGGAGAGGGATCGCACTGCCAGAAATAGCAGAGGTCCTTGTCTACATAAAAGATCCCAAACAGCTTGAAGGAAAGCTACTGTCAGGCTTGAGAGGATAGTAAGACAGAAGAGAGAAGCACGCTGAATTCACTCTTAGGCAACACCTAGTAATTGAGAGTTCCTCTGATATTCCCTTGCTTAATCTAAAGCCACTGAACTTTTATGGCAATATTTTATCAGCCAAGTTGGACTTTAGATTTGACTTTGCATCTTACTGATACAAAGTACTACATATCCTGAAATATCCTGAGAAATCAGACAGAACTGATGGAGGCAAGAGAAGTTCAACATGATGGACGACAGCTGAAGATGGTTCTGTTTTCTCGTAATTCTGATCCCTGTATTAAAAACTGCAACTTGCACGAAGGCATTAAAATCTATATTCTATTGTGCTTTAGATGCTTGACCTAAGTGCCTCTGAGACAGGCACAGGTGAGTAAGGAACCCAGAAATGGTTCCTGGCTAAGAGAGAGGTGGTTGTGCCACCTGGTGAGAACAGCAGGCCTTGAACAGCTGCACCCTTGGGAAGCACGTGCTATCAGTGCGTTGGATACAGACCTAAATGAGTAACATCCTGAGTGCCCAAAGCTATGGCTGTGTGTGTAATGCCTATTTTTTAAGTCTTTTTTTCTTAATTTACAGTGTCCACAAATACAGATACGCAGCAGGCCAGGCAGCCGGGCAGCAGCAAATTTACACTACAAACACTGAGACGGTCACAGGTTCCAAGGCGTGTGTCTAAACCTACATTTTCACATCACGTGTAACGTTACGAGGTTTTGAACTTACATTAAAAAAAAAAAAAAAGGTCTCCTTCCAGGGATTCATTCTGTGTCACAATCTTTCATCTTAATTTGGAGATGGTCTACATCTGAACGCCTCCTTCTGGAAATGGCTTTGAAGTAGAAATAGGTTTCTGCAGATGGGATGTGAAATCCTGCAGCATGGAGGCTGTCTGCGTGCTGAGAAGTCTGGCAATATTTAAGCATGGAGCGTGGGATACCCTGATAACTGGGACCACCTTTTCCTGTTTCAGCTAACTAAACTGTGGAACTGGTATGCTGTAGCTGCCTCCGGGTTAGTACAGCTCACTGTTAGAAATGGTTTTACTTTCGTTAGTGTTGGGAACATTAGCTTGTAACAGCAAATAAGCTTCATTCTGCTGACTGAACAGACTTTCTGATGCATAGTAACCTGCCCATTAATGAAGAGATAGTCTGTGTGCTGGGGGTTTGAAATCCAAGTCTCACGGTGTGCTGAAATATATGTTATGTGTGTAGTCAAGATTTGTAAAAGCTTCAGAAGTCCCTTAAAAACAACCACTCACCTGCGTATCCGTGGATGTGCAACAAGTTCCTTGTTGGTTGGGTTGTAGCTATGAAAAGTAAATGCTACAGAACAAACCAAACACAGTTGGGAGCAAGGAAAGCAATAGGTCAGACTGTGCCTCAAGGTAACTAGAAGATAGCACCAGTTTTTACTTTTTCCTTCTATCTTTCCAGCTTCTAAAATAACTGTATTTTAATTTTTGGCAGTCTTTTACTTCTGGAGCTCCTATTGCATCTGAACTGCCTAATTCAAGTAATTCCACAGTGGCTTTGTTCTCTGTCATGGTTCCAGCATTAGAATTGCTGCCATAAACTGCTCCACTACTGGGAGCATATGTTACCTTATGTAAGCACCTAAGACATTGAATATGAGCTAATTTTCCTTAATATTGATGTCTTGAGCAACATGAAATGGAATTTCACACTGCAGGTTCACAGTTGTCATTAAATTACGAATTTGTTAATATAGTTCAACAAAATACTTCGGTATGTCTCTACTTTCTTGTGTCAAACCATGACTGTAGCCTGAATGAGGAACCTCGTGCGTCTTCCTTAGCTTGTCCTTCCTTGACTTCCAAACAAATGCATTCACTGTGGCAATCTGCAAACACTCGGAGCAGTTTAGTCACTTTGTTTGCATACAGACACTGCTGACTTGCAAAGTGACACTTTAAGGAATGAATTTGGCCACTGATAGATCATAACAAACTTAATAAATTAAATCCAAAGGAGTGACAATGGTTTTAGGTTGCCACTGTCATCTTTGTTCCTCAACAACCAAGTCTTTCCCGTAAAATCACCCCTTTGGAATATTAGAGAGTAATTTCAGAAGCAGAGGAGCCATTGAGCTTGCATGGTGGGAGCTGAGCTCCTTATAATCACCTGAATATTCTGTCCTGTATCTTTTTGTGCAAACCTGTGCTGGTTTCTTGGTCTAGTTGAAAGTAAGAACAATTCAGAATCTATGCAGAGCAGTTGGTGTGCCAGAACTCAGAGCTTCCATGGTCTTGCATCAGCTCTTCCAGAAGCATCACTGGGAAGCCAAGTGTGAAACCTCTCGTTTGTTCATTCAGTGCACCATTGCCACATTCAGCACTGCTGCGGGGACACAAATGCTGTTTACCTGTTGGTTTGTGGTACTTCTGACAGTTGGGTGTTTCTACTGTTTTTCCCTGATTATCTGCTCCTTTCCCAAGCACCACCATCAGTCATCTGAATGAATGTAAGGAGCCATCCACTCAGTGTAGCAATCAGGCATTTTATATACAGGCCATATATGCTGTCATATTTTTTTTCTACTTCGGCCTACAGCAAGCTGCTTAAAAACAGCCGTGTGTGGAGGTGTTTTAAAGTGAGTTCGGTCCTTTGCTCAGCAGGTCAGACTGCTTTGATATTTTCAGATCTTCTTCGTATCTCTGTAGCTGAGACCAAAACCCTGCGTTGGGTTCTGCTACCGGTCTGGCAGCCTTCACCGCCTAGAAAAAAGGGAGAGGTTACAGAAGCAATGGAAGTATCATGCAAACTGATTTCTTCTTCTTAGGCTTTTGAGAAGATCTATTTTGGTTTTGATTTTATTATGGAATAATAAATGGATGTTTTTGATGACCTCACTCTGTGCTTGCTTATGTTCCTTGTTACGCAGTGGATTCGTGGACAAGACATGAACAGGAGATGTTGGGTTTGCTGGAAATGCAGATGTCTCTTACAAAGATGGTGAAACATGTCTGAAAACAAAGCAGTTATCTGTGTTAGAGACATCACAGTGTATGTATATAAACCAAGTGGGCGAAGGCTGAAAGATTGTGAAGCATCTGTTTATTTGTCCTATTTATTAGACAGGCATCCTAATGAAGGTGAGATGCTATTATTTGCAGCTAGCTAGCCTCTAGCTGTTTAGCAGGCCTAACAGATGGTGTTTCTTTGCTACATTGGGCTGTCACACAGACGATATGCATGCAACAGCTACAGAGCAAATCCTGCAACATGACTTCTCCAAATGCTCCTTTTATTTTCACTGATCTGCTTCACATCTCTGTCTTTAGCTCCATTTCTCATGAATAAGCAAGTGGTAGGGAAAATGTTCATAAACAACCCTGAATGCATCTGTTGCTACCAGTGCTTAAAACCTATTTGGATCTGTAAGTCTGTTTGTTCCATAAAGCTGATATTGCAGATTTATTTTTCCAAGTGGGGGGGTGAAAAAAAAATGTATGGTTGAAATGTATTTAAATATCGAGTATCTAAATAACCGATCATAAACGGGGCAGAGCACCCAGACATCTGCGAGATGTAATTCCGCGAGAGATCCTAGGGTTGGAAAGAGCTGTCAGATCACCAAGTCCAGCAGCTGACCCGAGTGCCACCCCACAGATCCTAACACCCAGGAACGGCGACTCCGCCACTTCCCGAGCCGACGGCTGCCCGTTCTTTATCCTGACATCCACCCTGAGCCGTTGCTCCCGTGAGCATCGCCTGCAGCGCCCAAAAGCCACCCGAGTACCGTGGGTGTAAATGCAGTACCTCAAAGGCGTCCCGGAGCGGCAGGTTTCGGTGTCTCATCAGGTACGCGGTGCAGATAGCGGCGGATCTGCTGCGGCCGTTCTTGCAGAACACCAAGCACTTCCCGCCGCTCCTGACAGCTGCTTCTATGGCGTCGCCGCACTGCTCAAAATAGCGGTACAGGTCCTCGGCCGGGTCGTCGAGCACGGGCACGCGCATGCCTCGGGCCTGCAGGAGGCTGGGGAAGGGCTGCAGCCTGGTGACGTTCACGCAGAAGGTGACCCCCTCTCGCGCCAGCAGCTCCGCGTCGCGGGCCGTCCTGGCGTTGCTGATGAGCAGCGAGGCGGTCACTTTGCCCACTGCGGCGCTGCCGGCCGAGGGCGCGCTGTGCCCGGCACCGGCAGCGCTCTGCCCGCCGCCTCCCGGCACCATGGACGGCCGCTCGCGCGACTTCGGCCCGCGGCCCCGCTGCGCTATATTTAGTCCCTCCGTGCAGCTCGGGTGAGGGATGCGGGCGGGTCCTAGCGCCTGCTGCGCTGCGAGAGCTGCGTTCCTGCGGAGCTGAAACCGGCGGCAGGTTGCGTTCAAATCAATTGGATGTGTGCGGCCCCTATTCCTGTAACAGCTCCTTACAAGAAGGAAGAGCCCTCCGAGCAGGGAATGCTGCTGCCACCAGCGGTGCCTTGTGCGGCTGAGACCAGCATCCCTCGGCCCTCGCCGGCACTACGCTCTGAGTACCCAAACTGCCCGAGGGGTGGCTGGGTGCGGCAGCACAGCTCTTGCTGCACACCAGCATAGGTGCGGCTGTGGGGCTATGCAGGTGTTGCCTCCTCGTGAAGGTGATGTTACCCCCCGGTGGAGGTGCTCCCTCCTGGTGCAGGGTCAGGGCTTCCATGCACGGCCAAGCACTGGTGGGCACAGGATGTGCCAGGGTTGATCTGTCCCTGTGTCCCCACGCTGAGCGTTGCCTTGCCTGGTGAGCACATCCCTGCCTAGTGGTGAGGCGGCCAGGAACTCGAGGCTAAAATCTGCCAGTGGCACAAAGATGAGCCTGGATCATGGCAGTGGGACGACACGGGCTGGTAGGACTAGCATGAAGTAGAAAACCAGAAAGTAAGACTGCATGGCTGCATGCATGGTGCAAAGGCACATTTTTATTTCGTAGCAGAGAGCTAAGAAGCCAACCTTCACACACGTGCCATCACACAGCCAACAGCAGCACGCCAGTGACCCCAGCCCCATGTGAGGGCAGCAGCTGGCACGGGCACAAGGCTGAGCATCCCAGCCACCTGCTGGCATCACTCATCCTGTCGCTGCCTTCGTCCCAGGCTCTGGGTGCCTGGCTGCAGGAAGGCCCTCATGGCCAGGGAGGTGCCTTTCAGCCTGGGGGCCTGGGTTGGAGAGGAAAAAGTGTGTCAGGAGAATGCAGCCATGATGCTGCCCAGCCCAGTGACAGCTGAGAGAGCCATAGTGCTGCCCAGACATCCCAGGCGCGCAGCACCCACCTGGCGGCCGGCAGTGCCTCCTGGGACCGTGCTCCCAGCTGCGCTGCGCTGAGCTGGAGGAGGCTCTACTGCTCGAGGGCGCTTCCCTGCAGGCCTCTGGCCCCGCTTCCTGACACACCCTGTGCACAGTGCATTGATTAGGAGCCTTCGTGATCATTGCCAGGGCTCTACTTATCAGATGGGAACAGGTTGGTTCCCCCTAGCATGGAAGGGTACTGGCTGTCACGTTACCGTCCTTGTCCCGTGCCGCCTTCTTTTGCCTGCCTTTCATGGGTTTCCTTGTGCTCCCAAGTGCCATGTGATGAACACACTGCAGTTCAAACCTGCATGCAAGAAGGCACTGGTGTGACGTGAAGTAGCACAGGTCCTTTGCAGAACTCATTTGCTCCCAGTGCCACTTCAGCCATCCTTCAAACAGCCCCAGAGCCACCCTGGGCCTGGCAGCACACAGCAGCACAGCCAGCAGCCCTGTGTCCCATGAGCTCTGCCCCAGTGGTGGCTGCGTGCCAGGGCTGTGTGAAGCAGCCCCCTCCCACAGCCTAGTGTGAAGTGGGCACTGGGAGCAGCGCCTTCCAATGAAGCTGCCCCGGGCAGGGTCAGTGCAGGGCTGTGGGCATCCACACTCACTCTGGAAAGATGATGATGCAGCCTGACCGTGTCAGGGAAGCAGGAGCTGCTGAGTGAGGGATCGCTGAGCTTGGCACCCCTGGGACCTGCAAGAAGGACACAGAGCTGGGGGGCAGCAGGGCTGGAGAGGGGAGCTCTGTGATGAGCAGCACAGCCAGCTGCCTGCTGCCACGGGGCAGCTCTGCCTCGCTCAAACACTGCTGTCCACATCAGCCCATCCTAATGAGTGGGCGCTGTGTGAGCACGGAGTGGTGTTTGCTGAGCTGCAGCCCAGCCTGAGGGGCTGCCCAGGTCAGGGCTGGCCAAAAACAAGGGCTGGTAGCAGATGCTGGCCTGCAAAGGGAGCGGCACCGCTGTGGAGAACCAGAACACTTACTCTCAATAGAACTTCTTTCAGGGTGTCTTCCCCTGCCATCACTTCCAAGAAGTCACGGTAGTATTTCATTTGCACTTGGGCACCTTCGATGAGGAGCATACCAATATCCCTCAGGATGAGTGCGACGTTCCTTCCCTGCGCGATGCAGCGAGAGAAGAGGGACATGGTGGCCTGGATGCATCCCACCACTCTTTTTGGAGACACGAAGGTGGCTGTGGCTATCTGAGTGTACTGCAGGGCCTGCAGTACTTTGTTGCCTGGAAAACCACACAGAAGGGATGGAGCAGCTCTACAGCCACTCACCAGCAGGCTGCAGCCATGCCACAGCCCCCGGGCCCTCAGGATGCCTCACTGCAGCAGGCACAGGGCTGAGCAGTGTCTGGAGCCAGCAGTCCTGCAGGTCTCAGGGCCTGGCCCTCTCTGGGTAGGTTTCTAGGGGTGCTGGCTGCTGCTGGTGTGGCACACAAAGCCAGCTGTGGGACCAAAGCCAGCATTGAGCAGTTTGGTTGTGAGCAGCATCAGTTACTCTCCAACCTGGGAGAGGAAAGTGAGAGGTCTGCTCACCCAGCCACACGGTGGGGAATGTGCATCACCCAGCACTACAAGGAACACATCCAGAGGACAGCTCACCTGGCATGTATGCCTTGTTATCCGTCAGGTGGTGACCTTCAGCGAGGTTCCTGGCCAGGTGGAAGACAGGTCTGTGCACAGTCAGGTGACCATCTGCAACCTGCACCCGCTCAAGGATGGTGTCAAAGGAGCCAAGGGTGGGAATGCGGATGCCCTGTGGGCAGATGAGACCAACAGAGCAGCGAGGTGAGGACAGAGGCTGCCCTGTTGGAAGCGGGGGCAAGGAGCTGCCAGTCCCTTGCTCCCCATGGGATGCCATGGGACTCAACATTCAAAGGGGCTTCCGACAACTTGGAGATGTGGCCACACTTGCATAAAGCTTTATTCTCCCTTGGCCGGGTCTCCTGGGCAGAGGACCCTGGTGGCAGGGCAGATCCTGGTTGGGGGAGAGAAGGGTGCAAGCCCACCTTGTGCTGCAGGAGCTGCTGGCGAACATGGGCAGCCACGGTGTTCCAGACGGCGGCTCTCACTGGGCAGCAAGTGAAGGTCAGGTCATGATCTGCACCTGAAGCCCTGAAGCCCCGCAGCCCACCCTGGCCACGTGCAGGGACACGGCCATCCCTCACAGACACATCCCAGCGCGGGGTGCAGCACTGAGTCATGCCCTTGTGACACTGGGCTGCGAGGCAAGTCTGCGGGGAGCCTGGCATGGCAACACAGTGCCGGCAGGTTACAGCCACACTCCTGCAGGTGCCTGCAGAGAGCCTTACCTGCGGCAGTGAAAGGCGGCACCATAGGGCCCCCCTGGCCAGCATCCCAAAAGTCTTTCCGTGGCCATGTTCCCCTGGCACGGTGTTTGCCAGCAGGGAGAGACAGTGGGGAGCGCACTCGGGAACCACAGCAGTAGTACCCTGCCTTCCTGTGTCCACTCCCCATGGTGCAGCTCTGTGCCGTGAGGGGCTGCCCGGGCTGGTGCGGAAGCTGTGACACAACAGGGCCCCTTGTTGCCTCGGCAGGGCCCGGTCCCCTTCCATCTGGGGGCACCACACGTCCCCCGCCCTGTGCCTGTCCGGTGGGAGCGGTGTGCCTGTGATGGCTGCTGCTGGATGGGGGGCCACACTGCTCACCCAGGTACAGAGCAGCCGGTGCCGTGCCCTACAGCTCGCAGAGCCTCTGCGGCTCTTGTGCTGCTGCTGGGTTTTCTTCCCACCCTTCCCACTTTTCCCACTGAGCCGTGGCTGCTCGGTACCAAGGCTGTGACTTGAGGGTTAAGAACTCCCCACCAAGCCAATGGCAGCAGCAGCCTGGTGGTTTCTCTGTGTTTGTGGGGCTGGGACCGCTCACCTTCAGCATCAGCAGATAGCACGGCTCCTGCACCGGGGGCGCCTCACTGTGGGGCTGCGGATGGCTAGCGGGGCTCCGGGGGATGACATCTGCAGGCCCTGCAGTGAGTCTGTCATGGCAGGAGCACCATCCCTTCCCGCTGCACACTTCGCAATGTTGTAGAGTTAGTTTGGAGGTGTATGGTGTTCAGTGTATTTACAGACCAACAGAAGTGTTTGCAGATGGTTTTAATCCACGCAGAGCTGCAAGTCACTGTTATTTAAAGTTGTCATAGGCACAGAGGAGGCAAAGGACATGACTGCTCTGCAAATAACTCCAGCAGAAGAGCACTATCTCCACATTTGCCCATATTTATAAAATCTGTGCACATGGCACCTAGACAGCTGTAACTGCAGGACATTGAGCTGAATAAATACCTACTCAGAGGGATCACTCATTCTATTAGACGAAAGTGATATTTGCATCTAGGCAGGTAGATTCTGTAGTTTCCAGTTACCAAGTCTCTGACACTTCAATAGCTGCTTTTGACATGTTGCCTTGACCCTGCATCCATCCACTTCTAGGAGGGGAAGGTGCAGAGCAGAAGCACAGATCTTTCTGCTAAGTCATTCAGCCTCCAGCACTTGTTGGGATGGCACATCCGCATTGCTGCGGCAGCCCTGCGTTCAGCTCCACTTCTGGGCTCTGCCAACAGCTGCCCTGGTACACGGCCACTGTAGATACTGAGCCCAACACTCGGCTGTGACATACCAAGGGCATTTCTGATTCTGTGCGTTGTTATGCGGTGACTTTTTGTGCCTTTGTACGAGAATGTTCAGAATACTTGCTTTGATGACCTGCAGTCGCTTTGTCTGGTTTGCACACACACTGCACCCATAAAACCCTAGCTCTTGTTTTACCAAGTTACGTGGGATTGCTGGTGAGGGAAACCCATGACAAACCGGGCGGTTAAAAGCAAGGGCTCATCCCACAGGACTGCTGAACTGGCCTTTACCTGTGCCTTAAAAGGG